AAGCGGATGAAGAGCCGCTTTGCCACATCCTTGGAGCAGCCGTAGGCTTCGCGCACCGCCGCGATCATGCCGTCGCGGTCCGCGTTGTAGCGCCTCACCACGTCGGGGCACTCCTCGAAGTTGGCCTCGAACTGCGAGAAGACGCTGTTGACCACGTCCACGTCCACCAAGTCCTTCAGACCCGCGCGGCAGATCTCCTTGACGAGTCGGCAATGCGCGAAGGCCGAGGTGCAAGCGTGCCAGTGGGGCACATCGAAGAAGTCGATCTCCTCCGGCGGCTCCTTGTCGTGCTCCACGCCCGAGAAGCGGCGGCCAAGATAGTTGCCCGGAAGGAGGTTGTCGCGCCAGGCCACTTTCATGTAGCCGCCGGCCTCGCGCAGCAAGAAGATCCCCAGCGTCTCGAAGAGGGTGTAGCCGCTGGGGAGCACGGCCTTTCTCGAGGCACGCAAGGCCATGAAGCTCCGGATGCTGCCGGGGTTCAACGGCTCGTTGACCAAAGACGCGCTGTCGATCCTGTTGCGCTTCCCGGTCGAAGCCTGACCAGAACTCGCCTCCTGCGGCGGAGGACCCTTTCGGGGCCGGCCTGGCCCCCTCTTCGCCTTAGCAGCAGCTTTCGCCTTGGGAGCGGGCTCCGGTCCTGCAGCTTGGGGCGGTGGAGGCGGCGTAGCTGTCGGAGGCGGCGTAGCTGTCGGAGGCGGCGTAGCTGTCGGAGGCGGCGGCGATGTAGCTTTCGGAGCAGCCTCCGGCGCAGGGTTGCGGAGCTCCTGGAACAAAGCTTCTTCCCGGGCTGAGCGCAACGACGCGTGACGGAGGTTGTTGAAGATGCCCGGCAGGAGTGTGAAGAGGTCCCAGAGGTTGTCCAATTCTTTGAACGCTTCCTCGGCCCGTGCCTTGCGCTCGGGAGAGCATTTGTCTGGATGCGTCAGGATGCGCATCTTCCGGAAGCACGCCTGCTCGGAGACTTCCAAGAAGACTCGGAACCCCAGGCGAGCCGGCAACATCAGCTCTCTATCCAGCACGAGCTCCACGGCCAACTCCCGCGCTCGGGAGCTCGTCATGGCCGAAGCAGCAGGGGGCTTCAGGAAATCTCGAGATGCAAAATGCACTCACAACAAACGCTCTTGATGACCCACCGGCGCTCTCAGACAACAACTGCAGCCTCAGAAGCCCTAGAGAACAGTCCCAGGGCTCAAGCCTTTCGAAATTCGAAGATGACGGAGCAGGCGACGCAACCTGAGCGGCGCGGCGAAGGGCCCGGAGTTTCCGGGTGTTGGAGTCGGGCACGCAGGGACACTCT